AGCTGCTTTCGTTCTCGAGATATTTAAAAAATATCGAGGTTCATCATATTTTGGCGCCGATAGTACATAGAATTGTGTAAGTGTAATGAATCAGCCTTGTCCTCAATAAACTTTCCCTGTTCCTATCAGAAAGAAAAATAGAAAACTTCGCCGATTCTTTGTAACTACTGTAACTACTCATGAATCTCAATAAAGTTTTGAATAGCACTAGTTATGCAATTACTATCTGGCTTTTGCATCTGGAATTAATGAAACACACAGCATCATTCATGTGTTTTTTTTCAACGAAAATGTATGTAAAACTTACTGGGAACAGTTTTGGTGAGTGGTTTTGGTTGTACATAACTTGCAGCTGCAGCTGAGGCTGACGATGATGATGACGATGCCAATGACGCTGCGGCTGCAGTAGCTGGTGTTTCTGCTGGATCATTATTGTCGATTTCCACTAAATGGATAAGGTGTAATTTGCCATGTTTCATTGCATTGCTCTTTACACGTAATTTCGTTCCCATTTTCAACAAAACTTCTTTTTCATCAGGGTAATTAGTGTATCCAGCCAAATCTTTTCCATTTGCAGCTTCGATCATGAACAGTGTGGAGTTACCGTCGACGCTTAAAAAATCTTCGACGACTTTCACTAATGATGAACAAGAATTAATACTCCACCATGTCTTTACGGTGCCCATAACGTAATCTTTGCTAACGTCCTGAGGTACTCCACGCCAAATGCATCCTTTTACTCTAGGTAGTTTTTCCAGGGCTACGTCGAACAATTTCAGAAAGGAGAACCACGGTGTTAATTTTCTTCGCTCTTCTTCTCGCAGTGCTCGGTTCAAGACAGCATAAAAACTGTATTCACCTGCTTCAAGTGTGTATAAGAATAGAGCAGCCGCTTCATCCTTAGTAAGACCATGTTCTGATGGAAAATGACAATGATCATAAGCTTCTTTGATATCCCGATCCAATCCATTAATTTTCGACAAAACAGAAGCTAATGCGTCTTTTAAGGAGACTAGTGGATACTTCCAATAGCCACCGATTGGTCCAGATTGTTTTTCCGAGTAACAATCAGTAAATCTATTAGTCATATGTGCTTCGGTATTATATTCTACAAGATACTACAGAAGTGAAAAACATTTTCAAAAAGTTGAAGAGTATGTTGAGGAGGTAGATTGTAAATCAGAGTGTATATCATGTGAAAAAACAGCGGCAAATTTTAAATGAATTGAGATACTTATAGATGTACTTCGATACAAAATTATAAAAGCCTTGACAAGCATACACCCTACACAAGAAATTTCTTGATGAAATCTAAAAAAACTTCTTCTCGCACACAGACCGAAAATATTTGTTTTAGTTTCGAATGAAGCCTATCTTGTACTACTGCAATACACGTGACAGCAAGGCCTTCAGGTAAAATCTTGTTGCCAAAGTTTAAAACAAGTTGTGATACAAGGGTTATGGTTGTGAGTATG